AATATATATATAACTATACATATAGATATATATATAATATATATATATATATATATATATATATATATTTATAATAAAATAATATATATATATATATATATACATATACATATACATATTTATATATGTACATGTACATATAAATATACATATAAATGTACATATACATATATATATATACATATACATATACGTATATATATCCATATCCATATAAATATGTATATATTCGTATACATATACACAAACATACACATACACATACACATATATTAATATTAACATATTAATATATATATATATATATTAATCATACATTCATATAGTATAGACATACTTAAGAAACCGCATGAACAGCGGTTGTAAACAGAGCACCGAGGTCAACTGACAAACAGTCATGGTTTGAGGGAGGGGCATTTCATTGAGAATCTTCTTGGCTGCAATCACAGAAATATCACAGCAAAAGTCAAGTTTGAGTGTGTAAGCGGAGCCTGTGGTGATTTCCTATGCAATTGGAATTGATGAAGGGAAGCTTGCGAGTACAAGACAAACAATAGGAACATATGAAGGGAAACTTGAGAATATATTTCAGGCAGTTGGGATTTATGAAGGGACTTATATGGGACATTTAGTTTGTAAACGCATGCGGGCTATACGATCGTGTGGGCGTGGTTGATCTCTTTTATGCCATAGGATTACATTTGAGCCAGACTCATGTATGCTATACGACGAATACAAATGTATGCTATGCGGCAAATAAAAATAAATGCTATACGACAAATACACGTGTACTATACGACAAAAATATATGTGTGCTGTACGGCGAATACACATATATGATACACGGCAAATACAATATATGCTACACAACAAATACACGTGTACTATACGACAAAGACATATGTATGCTGTACGACAGTTACAAATGTATGATATACGGCAAATAAAAATATATGCTATACGACAAATACACGTGTACTATACGACAAAGACATATGTATGCTGTACGACAGTTACAAATGTATGCTATACGGCAAATAAAAATATATGCTATACGACAAATACACGTGTACTATACGACAAAGACATATGTATGCTGTACGACGAATACGAATATATATGGTACGCGGCAAATACAAATGTATGCTACACGACATATACATATGCTTACTGCACGACAAAAATAAGTGTGTGCTGTACGACGAATACATATGAATAAATACAAACATTTGCTATACAGCAAATACACAGGCATACTCGACGACAAATACATATGTATGCTATACGAAAACTACACATGATGCAATAGATCCACATTTGAGTCTACATAAGCGTTATGTTGCTCTACACTACTGCAACGTACAATAATTGCTCGCACTCCAGATCTAAGGTTTGTACTACTTTCAGCAACAGAGGTATCGCCACCCTTTGTGATGCGAATTTTTTTCGGAAGTATTCAATGCCAAAATTAATTAAACATTTAATCTCTAACTATATGAACCGTTACAACGGGCCGACTTAGACAAGATACAGAACATTTCAAGAATATCACTTAAACAAGTTATAATTTTCAAATAGATCGATCGACTCTGAACAAGATATGTTGTGATGGAATACCACTTACACAGGTTGTTTGTGATCGCCGAGAATCCATACCACGCCACACACAGCAACACCACTTTGACCCTCCTGAAATACGGAGTGGAAGAGGGTGAAGATGACTGACAGTGAGCCGAAACGGAATTGATCACAATATGTTCATCCGTGCACAGTACAATGCTGATGATGCTCTGTGTGTGTGTAATTCAGAGTGTCGCATTGCCATTGACAGACCGGCACAGCACAGAGACAGTCAGACAGAAAAAACTAATACAAGACTTGATTGCGATGGAACTGTGAACACTCGGACCAGACATACGCCAAGTGATTAATAGAACAATACTACAATCAATATATATATATATATATAAATATATAAATATATACTTATATATAGATATATATATATTTATATATATAGATATATAAATATTTATACA